AACCTTTCCAAATAGGTTCTGATGAGTGCTACACTTGATGCTGAACACTTTTCAAAATACTTTGGCGGCTGCCCAATTATCCGAGTCCCTGGATTTACTTATCCTGTAAAACCTTTCCCCTAATTCCTAGATGCAAATTTATCTCTTTGTTGATTTATGATGTGAGTTTTTGAATATATTTACCCCTCTACACCTATGTCAGGTAAAAACTTTTTATCTTGAGGATGTTCTTTCTATTGTAAAGTCAACTGAAAATAATCACCTTGATTCCACCTCAACCACTGTCATGTCCGAGGAGTCAACATTAACTGAGGAGTACAAAGTCGCCTTAGATGAAGCAATTAATTTGGCTTTTTCAGATGATGATCTCGATCCCCTTTTAGATCTAATATCTTCTGACGGGGGACCAAAAGTGTTCAATTATCAGCATTCTTTGAGTGGAGTGACACCATTGATGGTGTTTGCTGGAAAAGGCTGTATTGGTGACATTTGCATGCTCCTCTCTTTTGGTGCTGACTGCCATTTAAGTGCTAATGATGGAAAAAATGCTCTAGATTGGGCTGAACGGGAGAATCAGACAGAAGCTGCTGAACTAATTAAGAAACACATGGAGAAATCATCTTCCAATTGCGAGGAGCAGCAGCATTTACTTGACAAATACCTATCAACAGTTGACCCTGAACTGATTGATGATGTCCTTATTGAGCAACTAGTAAGAAAAATATGTATAGACTCAGAGGACGGAGCAATCCTTGTTTTCCTCCCTGGTTGGGAGGATATTAACAGAACACGAGAGAGATTACGCTCAAGCCAGTACTTCAAAGATACGTCTAAGTTTTCAGTAATCGCTCTCCATTCTATGGTTCCATCCGTGGAGCAAAAGAAGGTCTTTAGACGCCCTCCACCAGGCTGCCGCAAAGTTGTTCTTTCAACTAATATTGCTGAAACTGCCATTACCATTGATGATGTTGTTTATGTAATAGACAGTGGACGAATGAAAGAAAAAAGTTATGACCCTTATAATAATGTATCAACGCTTCAATCTTCATGGGTCTCAAAAGCTAGTGCAAAGCAAAGAGAGGGTCGTGCTGGGCGCTGCCAGCCAGGAATTTGTTATCATCTTTATTCAAAACTTCGAGCAGCTTCATTGCCCGATTTCCAGGTTCCTGAGATTAAGAGGATTCCTATAGAGGAACTATGTCTTCAGGTGCTTCATTATTCTTCCTTGTCCTTTAGGAATATGATTTTTATACTGGGAATACTCAGCATGACGATTAAGTGAAATATATTTAGCTTTTTATTGGTAGTTATAAAACGTTAGCTAGGGGTGAAAGAAGGTGAAGAGACTTGCAATAATGAAAACCAAAAAAATAAAATAAAATTTCAGTAGGCTTTTGAAAATTATCATAGTTTTGTCTAAAAAAATCAACTGATGGTAAATGTAAACTATTGTAAACAATAGAGCTTGTTGTAAAACAGTTTGAATACCTTGTCAGGTCAAGCTTCTTAACCCTGATTGCAAGATAGAAGAATTCCTGAAGAAGACACTTGACCCTCCGGTTTATGAGACCATACGTAATGCAATCATTGTTCTGCAAGATATTGGGGCGTTATCAGTTGATGAGAAACTTACAGAGCTTGGTGAAAGGCTAGGATCTTTACCAGTTCATCCTCTTACAAGCAAGATGCTCTTAATTGCCATATTATTGAACTGCCTTGACCCAGCATTGACGTTGGCCTGTGCTTCTGACTATAGAGATCCATTTACCCTACCTATGTTGCCAAATGAGAAGAAGAGAGCTTCAGCTGCAAGAGCCGAGTTAGCCTCATGGTACGGTGGAAGAAGTGATCAATTAGCAGTTGTAGCTGCGTTTGAGGGCTGGAAAAGTGCGAAAGAAAGTGGTCAAGAGTCGAGGTTTTGTTCTACGTACTTTGTATCCTCAAGCACTATGAACATGTTATCAGGAATGCGTAAACAACTGCAATCTGAACTCTTGAGGAATGGGTTTATTCCAGGAGATGGATCTTCCTGTAGCCTTAACGCACAGGATCCAGGCATATTACATGCTGTTCTTGTTGCTGGTTTGTACCCTATGGTTGGGAGACTGCTTCCGCCTCTGAAAGGTGGTAAGAGGGCTGTCATAGAGACTGCAGGTGGCGATAAAGTTCGATTGCACCCTCATTCTACTAACTTTAAGCTTTCATTCAAAAAATTCTGTGATCGACCATTAATTGTATATGATGAGATAACACGTGGTGATGGAGGTCTTCATATAAGGAACTGTAGTGTTATTGGGCCACTCCCAGTTTTGTTGCTGGCAACAGAGATTGTTGTGGCTCCTGGAATTGAAGAAGATGATGATGATGACGACGACAATGATGATGATGAAAGTGATTACGAAGATGCTGATGAGGACGATGGTGAGGAAGATAATATTAAAGCGGATCAAGGGCAGAAAGTTATGTCTTCTCCTGAAAATACAGTTAAGGTCATTGTTGATAGGTGGATTCCTTTCGAGTCAACAGCTCTTGATGTTGCTCAAATTTACTGCCTGAGAGAGCGATTAGCTGCAGCAATTTTATTCAAGGTAATTTCCTCTATCCTGCACTATTTTAAAGAGAAAATCTCCTCTCCCTCCCCTCCAGCCCCAAGCAAAAGAAGATGAAAAGAGAGGAAAACAAAGCAAAGTGATTGGGTATCCTGCGCTGGTGCCATGTCAAGATAGTATTGGAGTATGTGATTTTTGGTTGGTCTAATTTGTAATCGAATGTCATGCAGGTCTCACATCCTGGAAAAGTTCTTCCTGAGATTCTTGCAGCCTCTATATATGCAATGGCTTGCATCCTCTCGTACAATGGGATGACAGGTATCTCATTGCTGCTGGAGCCTGTGGACTCGCTTACTACAATGGTCAGTGCTACTGAGATTGGTCAGCCTGATCGTGGGAGTTATAATGGAATGGATATGAATCCCATAAATTCTCTCAGTTCACCTATGTACCACGGCCAGCATCAGCGCTACTATACGCATCATCAAAGAGGCGGCATTCATATATCAAAGGTAAGACAAACTGGAATGATTTCTCAAATTATCATGTTCAAAAGACTTTTATCTCATTTGGCTTGAATTTATTCAAAGCTCTGAATGTCTCTCTACCCATACAGGGATCGTTCATGCATGGAGGAGGAACCATGAAAAGAGATCATTCTAAACGGCAGCGTGGAAATGGATCTTGACAAAACTGGTTTTGGCTGATCTATCCACACATTAAGAGAGAGAGAGAGTTCATACTTCACAGAAACAACTGTAAGAATCTTGCTGTTATACTTTTTTTCATGTTGGCAGATACCCCAAGAAGCTAAAAGTAACAGATAGGTTTTTATGCTGTAGGGAATTTAATCGTAAAATGAGTTTTGCTACATAAAAGGGACGATGGATGGGGGTATTAAGCTGTTGAAATAGAGACCGATACGCTGGTTGTTAACTGGATTTGGCCATCACTACACTGCAGCACTAGTTATGTTACTGCTCTTTTGAGGAATTGAAGAAGTGCTCTATGTGTTGGGCCTGGATTCTCCCCTCGCTTTCAGCTTCGACGTAGACTTGAAGTCGGTTGATGTCAACTGCACTTGCTGCTTGATAGGTAACTCCAAAGCTGAACAGTGCGCTGAGCCATCTCCGCTACTCAAAAAGTTGCTAGTACATTTCTGTACAAGGCCATTTATCGGTAGCCCCTTAATATAGAGTTTCAGGTTTCTGTTTTGTAACCACAGGTCCTATGGACCCAGAGACGGTGTTAAAGTGAAATCAAACTAATCAAAAATCAAGGACAACTAACTTATACAATTGAAAAATGTACTTGTTAAGTATTTCTTAGATCTTATCTTTTATAGCTATATCCATCTTTATTTAGCATGTCCATTTGCCAGTTTGAAGAATCGCTAATTCGTGATCTTTATATCTACATTCATCTTTATTTAGAATGTTGATGTGCCAATTTTAAGTGGTATTCATAGAATCCTGTACTAATATTTTTAACTTAGAATTGGCCAACTCTTATTGCCCCAAGTTTGACTACTCTTCGCCAAATTCACAAGCGTTCATTTTTTACTCCCATTTGCATATTATTGACGCTAGTGTCTTATGTTGTGTTATTGTATTATTGCTCTTCCATTTATTTGTTGTCTTTTACGTTGCTGATATTATTTTTTTCTGGTTCCTGTTGTGTTACGGATTTATAATCTCTTTTCGTTTTCTTGAGCCGAAGGTCTTTCGGAAATAGCCTCTCTATCCCTCCGGGTAGGTGTAAGGTCTGCGTACACTCTACCCTCCCCAGACTCCACTAGTAGGATTATACTGGATTGTTGTTGTTGCTGCATATTATTGACACCAAACGTCCCAAAGGTTTATTAATAGCCAGACTAGTTCTATGATTCGTTTAATAACCATGAAAGTGGAAATCTTGAACTTAAAAGCAAATGATTAACAAGTTAAACTTTTCAAAGGTGATGAATTTAGTTTCCACGCTGAGTTTTCCTTTAATAAAGATCTTACTAATGAAATTGCCTAGTTGTTCAAGCAAGTTTTATCGCACATCAAATATTTGGGAAATCAAGTTCAGTTACATTGTAACTTTTTCCTATTTTTGCCTATAAGATCACATAACCAAGATATCTTTCATGAAGATTTAGATATACATGTTGGCATGCCAATTGTAGTTCCAGTATCAAAAATCACCCTTTACCCTTTTCTGGATTTTTGCCGATGTAATCATAAAAAGCGAATTTTTTGGGATCGAACAAACTTTGATTTTCGGCTAATCAATGCGTTACAACTCAGTTTTCAGTGCGAAAAAAGATTTTGTAGTTGCCAATGCAACTTATTACATTGATATAGGATAAAATTATCTTTTCCATCTACCAAAATTCTTGGACCAAAATACAAAAGCTCGTCAAAATATATTAGCAGTTCAATAGAGAAACACATAAAAAGTTAAAAATAATGTGTCTTTCTTTTCTCACTTTTTTTATTCATTTAGATGATATGTACAAGTAGTAGTTACTTTCACATCAACTACACGGGTTCAGAAAACAACGCAGCCTATACTATTTCAGAGGCAAATTGAGCAGAGGTCATGCTGGTTCGACTGAATCCACTACTTTCTACTCTAACATGTATACAAGTAAAAAAAGAAAATAATCTAAACTTACTAACTCTAGACTTTGAATTCGTCTTTGCTATTCACATAGCTTTGCAATTATCAATTGACTGAAATTAAACTCTCCTTATAAACAACCAACTCAAGTCTGCCTCTTTTCCCATAAAAGCCAAGTGTCTTCACTTCTTGATTTGCAGGATCATAAATCACCAATTGTCCATTGCTATTTTCCAAAATAAACTCACCATTTTTCCAAAACCCTAAAGGCCTCTCCACCTTTGAAAGAGGGCCAATTCTTTGCAGTTTAGTCCAACAATTTTTAACTCCCAATTCATTTGTCACCCAAATATCAAAATATTTCTCCACTTGTTTCAAACAATAAACAATAAGAGAAATTGACTCATTTAATGGTACAATCACCCAAATATTTCTAATTTCTTGCTCCCCAAAAACTCCAATATTTGATGGTAATGGTGTATTTTCAAAAGTCTCTTCACTCATATTAAATGAAAGAATCACCTCATTATTATCACCATTTTGAGCTAACCAACAAAAAATCTCATTTTTATATATCATACTCCAAGATATATAACCATACTTTATTTTAGCTGGTACAATCCCATTATACTTTTTCCAAATATTTTCATTTAACGAATATATCTCAACTTGATAAACAACAACACGATCATTTGAAAGACAAAATAAAATTTGTATTACCTTATAATCATTTCTTTTGGAATCAAACCCTAATCCAAAATCACTTCCACGTACTGTTGAACCAACTAGACGTTGAATTTGTGATTGAGGCAATATTTTGTAATCTCTAATTGAAGGATTCCATATAACAATATTATCTGGATATCCACATAAACAAACAATTCCATTACATGGACCAATATGTCGAACGTGACCAAATTTATCATTGAAATATGATGGAAAATCTTGATTAATAAACACATCTAATGTGTCATTAATCGATAATGAGACCACCCTTTTATTTGTAATATTTCCGCGGCGACTAATTAACAAACGAACGTAATTTTTTTTCCTGCTCAGATTTTGCAAATGCTTTGATATGAGATTAGGGTTCTTGATAAGAGAATACCATAATTTGCAGACACATTTGAACCTAATCAAAGAAGTTACAGGCAGTCTTGTCAAAATCTCGAAAATTACATCTTCAGGTAGATTCATTGCCCCTTTAATATATATTCTCTCGTTTTTCTCCTGTTTTTTCATGAAAAAATATTTTTGTTGTATTTTTTTTTATCTGGTCTTTTTTGTGGGGTTTCTTGAAATGGATTTGTTAGAAAGGAAAGGGAAATAGGAAAGTCTAAAGTAGTCCACAAATGTAGCAAGTCCATTCTAAACACGAGAACACAAGAAACTAATTTCCCACGGATTATAAGTTTAATTTAATGTTTCAAGAAATAATTAAAGTGGTGGTTCCAAATGAAGGTTGAAGTATAAACGAAGATTAATTTTTGAAGTTCCTCATTTCTTGGAATAAAGTTACTTCCCATACTCAAAACAACTCGTGACGGCCGTGCTCGTCTTGGACTTAATCGTGCCCTTTGGGTCAGCCAAGCTCATGCGACGCCGACGTCAATGAAGAATGCAATTTAAATATTTTTAAAAAAAATACTTAAAACCATCATTGGAAGTTGTGTCACGGAAAAATTATTCAATCTCTTATGATATTTTAATTCCAAATATATAATAGCGCTCCAAGATAATAAAAAAGTGCTTATAATGATACAAGAAAAGAAGAAGACAATAAATGGAAATTTTTGCCTACTAAACAAAGTAGAGACAAAGCACTTCTTTAATAGATATATATCGTTTAATTTTGACTACATGCATAGACTTGCTCTAGGAATAGAAAATTGAAATTTCCTCAGTACATTCACATCACTATTAGTTACTCCACTAAAGACTTTAAGACTAAATAGGGGTTCCTATTTATTCTAAGGAGGTAACAAGAATTTGTCCCTCCCTTACCCAATTTTCTTAAGGAAAAATTCTGGGTTTGAGTAAGTTTTTTTTTTCAAANCATCATCATCACTTTCAGATTCTTGATTCATACAACAGAAGCTAATTACAGGCCTAGCTTCAATTGCTAGAATCCTGGAGGGAAGAAAAGGTGATGTATTTTCGCTCACAATCACCACCATTTTTGAACAAATTGAAAACTTAAAAGGAGTTTATATGTGAGAACTTTGGAAAACACTAGTTGTGAGAGATGATGAAGGGTAATACTACTCTTGTCCTATTTATAGCATTGATATGAGTGGCATTTGCAGAAAATATCGACCTATTTTTTCAGACTTGTCATCATTATTGTTGATTGAATCTTTCTACTTTTTTGAGATTTGTGTTGTCATTGTTGATAATGGTGTGACTATGTTTTTTTTGTGCCGAGGGTTCTATCGGAAATACTCTTTCTACCTTCACAAGATAGGGTAAGACTGCAGACACACTACCCTCCCCAAACCTTACTTGTAGGATTATAGTGAGCTTGTTGTTGTTGTTGTTGAGATTTGAGTGAACAATTAAATCCTAATGTTAGATAGGGTACCACCGTGTTGTGGTTGTGGTGTGGGATGGATAGAATCTCTCCGACCTTGGCTACGGTCTAGGGTTCAAGCCTTGAATATGAAACACTTTTTAGTGGAGTTTATGTGCGTTGAGAAATCTGAATTAATCGGACTCGAATGTAATACTGAACACCGGGTGAGACACACAAAAAAAAAAAAAAAAAATGNAGAGGTTTAGGTTCGAGTCTTGAGTATGGAAAAAGTTTTGACCGAATACGAGTACTGAACGCTATACGTGAAAGACAAAAAAAAAAAATGTGAGATAGGGTAGGGTATAGTGATAGTGAAAAGAGAGGAACAAGAAGCTAAAGACCACACAATGTTTAGGGAATGGAATGGAATGGCATGAGGTAAACTCATGGAAGGCTACTGGCTTTCACAATCCACACGTGCTTATTCCCATTTATGCACACTCTTTTGCTTCATTGTCCTTTTGCCAGCTTGGAAATAGAGTCAAAAAAGCTAGGCAATGGGAAAAAAAAACATATATTTAGCATAGTTTAACAAGGTAATAATTTTTAAATGTGTCTCAGTACAGTTTTTTTAAGCCGTGAAAACAGTCTCTCACAAAAATATAGGGTAAGGCTGCGACAATATACCCTTGTGGTCCGGCCCTTCCCCGGATCCCCTCATGGCAGGAGCTTAATGCACCAGGCTGCCCTTTTTTTTTACTTAGTATATTTTTTGAGCTGTGTAAATTAGTTAAAGATTTATTAAGTTTATGAACTATAGTATTATGAAGTTCTACCAATGAGTTTATGAAGTACGTGATCGAATGATATTCTTTAATTGGTCAAACTATAGTATATTTCTCGTGGAAGGTAATCTATTTTTGCCTTCTTTTCATGTAATGTATTTTAATTTACAGTACGAATATGCTTTTATTATAGGAACCTCCTCACTTTAGAAATTTATATTATTCACAGGACCAACTTAATATTGTAATCCTTTGCTTTACTGGTTATGATTTCCTGATTTAGTGTCGATTTACTAGGCAATGCCTCTTGGAATTGAAATATAAAGATTTCCAATATAATTTTCACACAAATTAAAGGCTTCTATTATATATATGCAGAAGAATTTCTATAATTGAGAAAAGTAATTATAAAAAAAAAAATATATATTAAAAAAATACGCTTTTTTTAATTAAAAAAATGCATGATCAATCACACTCATGCTGAATCCAGTAACTCTTGAAAAATTTAAAAGAAATGATGATACTAAGTTCTCATCACTGAAAAGCCCTTGCCCTGTACCAATTTAGGGATATTATCACTTTTAGCCCACACCAAAAACTATTTACATACAGTAGCCGAAAAAGTGTATAAAATTTGTATAATTTTTATATATAACATACAGAATGTATATATATACAAAAAATATACATTTTTCGGCTATTATTTTAAAAGCAACTATACAATGTCATTTTCCCACCAATTTCAATATAATTTACGATGCAAGTATCTAAAATACTACAACCACAGATGATAGTAAGAAAAGGAGAATAAAAAGCAAGTTATTTTCAAATGCCATATCCAACTAAGATATTAGGCAAATAAAGTTTCTCCAATGCCATCTAACGTTCAATACATTGTCTGTGAACTAATTGAGACATTACCCTGCCTAATTCTAAAGCTTAAAAGCAGCATTTTGCTGCCTCAGCAGGAAATGCATTTCATACTTTCTGCATACAAGTTCATTTTCTGCTCATGATGAATCTATTCAAACTTCTTTAGCCTGAATTTGCCCGTCGGGATTCTGCTGAGGATACCACGATCCAGCTTTTTGTAATGGCCTTGAAGCCGTTCGAGGGCATTATATACAAAGCCATCAACTTTATCATCATATCTTTCATACAGAACTGGGAGCGTGTGCGCAGCAACAAAGCCTTAAAACATTCAACATTGCACGCATAGCTAAAATTAGAACCTTTCTGGAGCTTGATGTGAGTTGTAGAGGAAAACATGAATGGCCCCTACTAAAACCTTGACAACTCAGAACAAATATAAAATCAATGGTCACTTACCAATATACAGAACAGTCAAAAAATTGCACCAGCTTCCAATAATAGCAGCAACCCATAAGCTCACCACAACCTATAACAAATCCCAAGGCATTAATTTAGTAGTCGTCAGAAAAACATTTGATGAATTCATAGGGTATATTTGTTTCTTTTCCAAGTATTAAAAGCTTGAGCATCCTATAAGGAGAGTCAGAGACTACACATGGACAAAATGCTAAAGATCTTGATAAAAGCATTGATAACTTTGCAGAGGAGAAAAACTTTGATTCTTCCCATTTAGGTCCGATTCGGAACCCTCCATTGTAAAGAACAGCATTTTAGTTAAGTACGTTATCCACTGAATATATCAAACATTGAGCAATAGCATTTCACAGCAATACAGATTGTTGCATCACAGATGAGAAAAAGGAGTTTCAACATTAAGTTACATCGTATTAAATAGACACAGGAGAAAAGATAACCCAAGAGGAGGAAGCAAATTTAGAGAAAAGACAGGAGAAGGCTGGAGTCTTCTTTATCATTTTTGTTCCTTTTAAGAGAAGGGGCTGGGAGGTGCAAGTTTATTGTCAAAAAACATGCACGTTATTCGATCAACCAACTCAAAATATTTATATATTGCAAATTGAGTGGAAGTACCTACAAGTTTTCTAAAATCTGGGGATAACATTAAGCACACATGCATCTTACTTCAACAAACATGTTTGTTTGGAAAATGTTATTCCCAGAACGTTTAACAGATAATGACAGCAATATATGTGTTCGCTTCTTGCAATTGCATTTGAAGGGATAGGGTAATTTGCTTTGCAATTCTTTCTGGAATCTTTGACAGCGTAAATGTCACAGTTTGTCCACTTGTTGGAAATGAAAGGTAAAAGTACAGCTATCTACATTTATAATTATTTACAATTTCCTTGGGTCTATATAAAACAGAATGAAAAGCTGTCTGGAAGCACAAACATAGAGAGAGGGCAAACTAGAAATAATACGATCTTTATGTACTGCTGTTGTTTTATGAAGGCAAATTCCAGATCAATCAAATTGGTAAACGTACTTGACAAATGCTGAATTAGAGCAAGTTTACTATAGGGATAAGGGGCCCTTGACCGTTGCAAAAAAATTTAGCGAAGTTGACAAATAGGAAGGAAAATAATTTTTGAAAATCTAGCTTGAAAGAGAGTCCTAATACAAATCAAATGCATAGTACTTTGTAATGAAGAACAAACTTTATTCAAATAAGCTTAACCATTTGAAAATATTCCAACAAATATATGAAGATTTACCACTAAGAATTGTTTGATGTTACCCCCACAGGCAACATCTTGAAGGAAGCGCAAACCACGGTTTACTTCAGCACCTATAGACTTGGCAATGCTGATGAAAAGGTCATCAGGTAAGACAAGACGAGGAACTTTAGCTGGAGACCTGTTGTCAAGAAGATCGCATCGGCATTAACTTGATTCAAGAGTATCATACCAATTGACAAATGAGAACAAGAAAGGAGAAAATGATATTGCCCAGGAAACAGGTTAGGCTGTATTACCTGTTCATTATGCCAGAGGCATTTTTCCAAAGAAACTGAGCAATCATACCAATGACAAGAGCAAAGCATACAAGTGAAAGAAAATTGTAGTTCAGCCACTCAAATAGCACCCAGATGGCTGTGGCACTGGCTAAAACACCAGCTGAGATTTTCTTGTTTCTCCATAACAGCACGTCAGCAGCTACAAATCCGGTGAAGCATATTTAGGATTGGTAATACAACAATAGTAAGGACAAAGGAAAACAAAGGTATATAGGTGGCCTACATCTGCCTCCACCTAAGATATGGTGTACTGGCTTTTGACGGCCAAATAGCCTATTGAGCTGAGCATTAACCAAGCTTGATTTCTCCTCTTCAAAGAAGGACCCCGACTTCTGCTTCGACAGCCCATCAGCAATTGATTCCACAATGTTGTTCAGAAGAGCCTCAGCTGTAATTTTCTCAGGCATTTTCCTGCCTTTTAAATATGTATAAGAGATGAAGTCAGTCATTAGAAGAATAAACTCCAATGCAAAAAGTCATCATAGACAAATGCAAGATTCATGTATGCCAAAAACTAGTGAAAATTAACAAGAAACAAAAGATAGAGTGCTTCTGNATTTTAAGTATGTATAAGAGATGAAGCCAGTCATTAGAAGAATAAACTTCAATACCCAAAGTCATCATAGACAAGCGCAAGATTCATGTAGACGAAAAACTGGTGAAAATTAACAAGAAACAAAAGATAGAGAGCTTCTGGTAATTATTACTATCTCAGTAGAAACAGCACACAGGATTATCCAAGTAGAAACAAAGCTGGAACAAGTTTGACCTTGCAACATCTTAAAATTTTGCCTTCCCTGACGAGGATCACGAGACTGAATCAACTTTCCTTCCCACTAATCTA